TTGTTTTCCCCTGAGGTAATGCAGGGCTGGTAGCTATCATCTTCTCAAGTTGCAAGTTCTTCAACCTTGTTTTCAGCCTCCGGGACATCCAGCACAGAGAGGCCAGGGAGGCCGGGCCGGAGTGGGCCAAGAGGCTGCGCAGAGGCGGGAGCCCCCGGCCCGGAGGGGAGGCTGGCAGTTCGCACGCGGCTGCGCAGGGGCGGCAGCCCGTTCGGCGGGCGGCTGCACAGGGGCAGGAGCGCGGGAGCGGGCTTTAAAAAAATTTTAAAGAATTATTTTATTTAACTTTATTTATTGATTTTAATTTGACCAGAGAGGGACAGAGCGAGAGAGAGCGAGAGAGAGAGAGAGGGAAAGTGAGAAAGCAAACTGCCATGTCTAGGATTTGAACCTCGGTCAGCCACACCTTAACCACTACACTACCTGCTGTCCCCATCATGTTTATATTTTTCTAACGCACACACACACACTCCCTTCTGGTTCCTAAAGCCAGCATCCTAATACATGAACACTAGCAGTGTTCCCACTAAAGTCAAGCATAAAGCCAAGGCTGCATTGTAGGATGGAGCAAAGGAAAGAGATGTAAATATGACATAGGGAAATGGAAGAATCAGGAGGGACTGGGTATAAGTTGGAGGTATAAACATGTTTTCTAGTACATTTCTAGTATATATTTATACCTGAGGCCATGTGAACATCTATTTCTATGTCTACATATAAATATATATATATACATATATATATATGCACATACATACATATAAAGAGCAATTATTAACTGAAATATATTAAAAGAAATCAAGATTCCATGAGTCTACACTAATGCTAATAAGAAATATAGCTATATAAAAAATGAGTAAAGGAGTCAGCCCTGTAGCCTAGTCTTTCAATTGGCTACTGTTTTTAGAGAAACACCTTGGAAACCGAGTTGAGAAATCAGGCTCTTGTTTATCTAAGAGGTTGACTTTTATCTGCTCTTTGAAATGAATCAGACAAGAATATCCAGAGAAGCATTAATGGACAAAATCTCTGAGTTGTTCTCAATCTTGTCGGTGTCGGCCAACCCCAAGAGCTCTTGAAATAATGGTTTTCAGTCAATCCATGGACCTAGGTGGGTCAGCAGAGTCATCTCAAGACAGTGAAGATAATGAGTTTCTTGAGAAACCTGGTAAGTTGAAGAAATAACTAAGGCAAACCTTCTCGAAGATTCTCTAACTACTAACTGGTTAAGCAATGAAAGGGAATCAAATTCTTTTTGATTTCTCCTGTCTCCATCTGATCAAGAAATAAATAAAGATTTTCCACACATTGCGGTTCTAACCTAGAAACTAATGAAATCAGATCCCCAACTATCTGAAGCTGATGTATAATGTTCTCAGAGATTAGGCTTCATAGCCACCTTTGATCGTTTGTGCCTAAAATTAAAAAATAAATAAATAAATAAATAAATAATGTATTGTAAAAATGTGAATGCATCAGCTGCTTCCTAATTGCCTTCCTTCAGCTCGAAGAGGCATATTTGGGGGTAACGTGTTCTGGGCCCTCCACCCTCTTGTGCTGATCTACATGAAGAAAGCCAGCTGAAGTTCTCCCACTGTTTCCCAAGTCTAGAGCCTCATACAACCAGCCCTCCAATATTTAGGTCCTAGGAAAAATTGGCTCTACAAGCCCCTCACCTTGGGACGTGGCTGCAAAGGTTGTGTTTCCTGCCTGTGCAAAGTTCCGGAAAGGGCTTCACAGTCATCTCTGTTAACCCATCCCCACAGGTCTTCCTGTAGAACTTTCTCAAGCCACCAGGCCCAGGACTTGAAAGGTGCCATAGCCTATGTGAGATCTAATCATCTTCATCTCCACATCAAATGGCCTGTCAGCATGATGACTTTCATGGTCCTTCTAAAGCCCCTGTGGCCTGGCAAGCTCACAGTGCACACACTCACCCAGGGACTGCTTCCTGGGGCTAATGAGCCTTCAGCTGCAGACTGCACAGAAGACCAAGTCTTGGATCTGGTGTAGTTTGAGCCAAGAAACCAAACCCAGCCCAGCCCAGCCCAGCCCAGCCCAGCCCATCTGTACCCCTCTGTCAACAGAGCAGGTATTGCCCAAAAGGACTCTCTGGAAACTTGCTGGGGCACTTCTAGTGTTCAAATGTTTGGGGAAGTACTACTGGCAGTTAGTGATTGAGATCCAGAGACAGAGACATGCTGGAACACACAGGACCAACCACAATGAAGAAGCAACTGGGACTCACATGACTCTAATGTCTCACCTCAAGTCCTACCTCAAGTTCACGCAAATGGAAAACCCATTCAAAAATTACCCAAGCTTGGGAACCAGCAGTTAGCGTAATGGCTATGTCACTGGACTCTCATGTAGTCGACCGTGGTTTGCGTCCTGGACCCAGTGGCTTAAAACTCACGCCAGGAGGGTGTGCGTGCAAGCCCAAGATCCCGAGAGGAGAATGGAGGAGAAGGGATTGCGGCATGACCATCCCCCCGGGGGGTGATTTCTCGCTTTCTGTCTCTATGTCTCTCTCTCTGGCTGGCTGGCGAGCGCACATGCCCTATAGCGAAAACCTCTCAAGAAAAAAAAAATTACCCAAGCCTAGGCCCAGCCCCAAAGTCTGGTGGTTTGAGAGCCAGATCTCACATGGCTGACAATGAATCAAATCCTGGCTTCAGATGCTTGAAAACCACCACAGGCATCAATGTGTGTGCCCAAAATCTCAACAGGAGGAGAAATGGAGGAGGAGGGATTGCAGAGTGACCATACCTCATAGGCAGTGCCCTCTGTTTCTCTCTGGCAAGCACACATGCCTGCTAACAATTAAAAAACAAATTTTTTTTTTAATTATCTGCACCTAGACCCTCTGAGTCCATGGCTGTTGTATTTCATAACAAACACCATTTCTCCAAAGTTTTACTAACCACTTAATTTTCCATGAAGACAACTAGTTGTAAATCAGGGGAAGGTTTGTATTTTGTCTGGAACTTTACCAAGCATGACTCCCCATGCCCCAAAGCCATATCATTGTTCACAATATGGGTCATGGAACAGGGTGGCCCAGCACACCCAGTCCAAGGAGCTCTTCCCGTGCACCCACATCTGACAGCACCCTGCGTCTTCCAGTGTACCAATGCTAGGGCACACATAGGAAAAGACACATTATTTTCTAATAACTTACTCTTATTTTACTTCCATATTATAGTTAGATCATGGATTTTTAAAATTTTTGCGGGTAAGTTATATTAACTATATTTCACTTCAAGACTAGTAAGGGGCACCTATGTAACAAAGTATTTATATAATAAAGAATAGACTAGATATGAGAAGTTCTGCCTTAAAGGGTCTCCACCAGCTTGGTCTTGCATATTTGAGGATTCAGTCTCATGAGTTCTGCACCATCGTAAAGTAGGACATTTGCCCTGAAGGAGGCCTTGGGTAGTAAGTAGTGGTTTACCTGCGTGTCTGCCCACCGACCGACAGTTCCTTGGAGGCGGGAGGAGCAGGTCTCAAACGTCTCTGTCCCCATGCTCCCCACATGGTGCCCAGCACCGGGCCGGACTTAGAAAGCATCTGTGGACCTACCTTTTTTCTTAGGAGAGCAACTCAAAAGAAACCCTCTATTCCAGAAGGAGCTGAACCTCACTGGAGCAGAGCCTTGAATTGGAAAGCAGAGTCTCCCACGTGAAATTCTATAATGCTCAGGGTTGTAGGAGGAACTGAGACTGTGGGGAAGCTCCCTGTAGACCTTCAGTTTTCCAGAAACTCCATCATGTCCGAGCAGGATGATAATCAGTAACAATCCCGGGGGGGGGGGGGGCAGCTTTCGGAAAACCAAACAT